AACCAATTTCCCGTGACGGTTAGCGTGACTGTCACGCGTGTATTCAGAATTTACTGTGCGATCGAACGGGACAGGGTCGGAACTGTCCAAGTTACATTTATAGCGTTTACGCGCGTGTGCCACGTGAGCTATGTATATAAACTCGACATTCGGCCGAGCCGCGTATTCAAGCCGCCCTTTAATGCATTCCGTGCGAGAGAGCGAAACCGAACAAAGTGGAGGAAAAAAAAAAGAACGAGGGCGTCGTTGAGTTTGTTGCACTTGTCGCACACACTAGACGTGTACATAACGCAGGGAACGTACGCCTCTTAAATTATTGATGCGAGGTCTCTCGCGCTCCTAGGAGAGTTTCCGAGCGATTTTCGAAGTTACAGTCCAGCATGCCACTACGCCACTGTTCACAGAATTTTACATTTTTTATGAACAATTTGTATGAACATTTTATCATATACACGTGGCATGAAGAAGATCTTTTTAATTATTTTAAATTACACAATACATCTCGTATTACATCTCGAAAACCGACAGCTTGATTGAATAATTTATTGAGAAAGCGAGCTATCCAATAATGTTATAATTAAGAAAACTCGCCTTTGTCAGAATCTCGTCATGTAGCTGATGTGTTTCCAATATAATCTATTTTTTGTTTACGGTTTTTCATATCGTAACGTATGAAAAAGCATTGATCCTTGCTCTTAAAGTTCAGTTTCTTATCGAATGCTCGAAGAGCGCACTCCAACGCGTCATCCACGTAATATCTTAATAATCAAATATCAAACAAACGATCTATTTTGTGGAAATGCCTTGCGCTTTTAGGAAAGTTCTTGAGCAATTTCCGAAGTTACAATCTAGCACGATACTATATACCTACAGAATTATATTTTTTATGAACATTTGAAACTTGAACATTTTACATCACATACGTGGCACAATAAAGAAGATTTTTTTCATTATTTTAAATTCAAAAATGAATATTACATTTCGGGAGATTGGTTGAATAATTTACTGAGAAAGCTATTTAATGATGACGTCTAATTGAGAAAAATTGTTTTTATTAGAATTTCCTGACATAGCTGGATATAAAATGTTTTGTTTATATTTTATGTGCCACAAAAAAATAATTGATTTTTGCTTATTGAAAGCTCGGAGAGCACTCCAGCGTGTCGTTCGCGTAACATCTTAATAATTAAATATCAAAACAAGTTATCTGTTTTGCGCTGAAATCCCTTGCGCTTTTAGGAAAGTTTCTGAGCGATTTCTGAAGTTACAGTCTAGCAGAATTATATATGAACATTTGAAATTTGTATAAAAATTTTATATCACACACGTGGCACAATAAAGAGAATTTTCTTCATTATTTCAAAAAATGCATTTCGAGAAGTTGATTTATTAAAAAAGCGAGTTACTCTCAATATGTGATCCCTAATTAAGAAAAATTGTTTTTATTAGAATCTTATCACATAGCTGATGTATTTTCAATATAAGATTTTTTGTTTTTATATTTTACACCATAAAAAATAATTGATTCTTGGTTTTAAAATTCAATCTCTTGTCGAATGCTTGGAGAGCACTCCAGCGTGTCATCCGCGTAATATCTTAATAATCAAACGTCAAATAAACGAGCTGTTTTGTAAGTACGCGGATTACGGGCAATTTAAATTATTCGCAGCACATTCAAGCTGTCTCTCTCTCTCCAGGAATGTGATCGGAAATGGGCGACAGGCAGGACGACGTTCCTCGTTGAAAATTACTGCACGAGGTTGATCATCACTTTCAAAGCTGAGAATCGGGTGTCGCGGTAATCAAAGTTATTCGCTTCGAATGAAGATTCTACAAGAGTGAAGAGACTACTTGTTAATTAACTACGGAATAAACGATTCTCATCGATCTCTCATAGTGTGCGACTAGTCGAGCGGAAGCCTCTTTTTCCTTTAATCGCTCACGGAGGTCAAGCACTACTCGACGAACACCGCCGACGTTTTCGTTAATGGAAAGCTATTTTTGTCTTCGACGAGGAAGATCGCCTCCACGTGCGTTACCAAACGCTTCCGTCATCCCGCAATTCGTCAGCGATGGCTCTTCCTCTCTCTATCTCTTTCCATTCCGCTCTCAGGAAGCTGCTCTGCTGTCTTACGTCGTTCTCTCGCTTAGTTCACGTGACACGTGCTCGTGCGCTCGCAGAGAACGAGCGAGCGAGCGAGCATCGTGAATTCGTGACGCCCCGGATAAACGAAAGAAGGTGCCGTCGCGTGTCGGACTCCTCTGCATATACGCGCATACACCGCGGCCGTCGTCGTTATTAGTTATTAACGCGACCGAGCGACCGCTTTTTTCCACGAGGGTGTGCTCACGCAGCACGTCACCACCGGGGATCGATCTTCGGCCACGAGGTCGAGGGCTGAAAAGTGTTACGAGAAAGAGAGAGAGAGAGAGGGGAGGCAGGGAGGGGAAGAGGGGATTGTGCACAGCCTCTACCTCTTTCTTCTTGGTCGAGGCCGAGCCGAGGAACCGCCCTCAACCCTATCAAATTTTTAACGGACCGCCAACTCGCGTCAGCGGTTTTCCCTAAGATCGACTGGAACGGCAGAGGGATCGATGAGGAACGAGAACGATAAGAGGAACAATAGGATGCTCTGTGTAAATAAGCGAAAGATGTCAGAAAAATAAATCCGAAAAACTATACCGTCAAATTTATACCGTTCTTAGGCATCCTCACATATCTTTGAGACGTTTCTCTGCGTGGGTGTGTTTGTGTTTGTGTTTGTGTGCGTGTTTGTTTTAACCAGTTCCTGAGCTCGGATATTATACGAGAGCTAGTATTACGTCTTTAGGGAGTAGGGTAATCTCGCCTCCTGGAATAGGTTATTAGCGGCGTCAGAGCTGACGCAATATTTTTCAAGGCAACCGCCGTCCGCCAACCTCGAATCTTGGCATTTAGGATTGATTGGAATTACGGCGACAACAAGCTACGTAATGGCCCGATGCTTTTATGTGATATAGCGAGCTAATCTCAGCTCCTTAATTCTACGAGAAGGTTTATTTCACAAAATCAAGGATTCGCAAGAACTAATATTTTATCATGCGTCGCGTGTTTGTCGAGATGGAATTTATCTCAGCGCTTTTAAATCCGTCTCGAGTCTACATTTACAGAGCTGAAAGGAGGAGGGTCCCTAAGGCCTGTTTTCGGCACCCTTCAAAATTGGAGCAAAATGGCTGGAATCACTTCTTTATACCTTTGGAAGTATTATTTAGTCAATTCCAGCCTAAACGGAAATACACGCATTTTGTGTATCTCTGACATTAAGATGTGAGATAGGGTCCGATATAAGGCCATGGACATAAGCAGAACCTGGTTTATTGAATTAAAAGCTTAAGGGATCGTAGTTGCTCAAAAAGGTGCGTACAGTTCTTAAAACAGTCCTTTTCAAAACTTCGTATTTAGCCTTGCGGCAGAAAATACGTCAGTCATTTCTTTCAGAAGTATTTGTAATAAATGTTTCTACGTGATCTACGATAGTGTGTTTTGGAAAGCTCTCGAGATTAGCTACAAAATATGTAAAAATAGGGGGTTCTATATAAAATATTAAAATCGACATTCACGTGACCTTCAAATGACTATCCAAGGTCAAACCAATAACACCATCTTATGTCCCCTTTGAAACTATACAACTTTTATCTGAAACATTTTTTCTCAAAAACGCTTAGTTTTCCAAAGAAATGCTTGATACGGGCGCGCTGATGCATCATGTATACTTGAAGTATACACCCTAAATACTTCCGTTTAGGCTGGAATTGACTAAATATTACTTTCAAGGGTATAAGGAAGTGATTCCAGTCATTTTGGTCTAATTTTGAAGGGTGCCGTAAACAGGCCTTGGGGACCCTCCTCTGACAATTATGTTCTTTGAGAGTAGCTAACAGTTACGGATCCGCGTCAAAGGATAATCTCGAAACATAAGACACATTCGTCTCACATTTACTCCGATTAGCTCTACATTTCTAAGGTGTCACAATCCTAGCTTCTAGAGGCGGTTTATTGCCAATGACAATATTTTTCAAGGCAACACCTGATGCTACGCCAAGCCAATTATCGTGTAAACTCGATTTCCACTGTTGGACATCTCGACAATAAGAGCCCCCGACATCGGAAGAAACTAATCTCGACAATTTTACCTTTAAAGTCTTTACCTTTAAAAGGTCTTTCTTAACTTTGCCGCTAAGAAAACTGTTCCCTCAACCCCCTCGTCGGCCTTTTTCCGGATTACCGCGCGAGTATCGCGATGTCACGGTTTTACTTCAACGTCGCGAACTTCCCCAGACGAATCTCATATTTTTTTCCAGGGTCAGAACTAATCTTACTCTAGTAAACGGACGGATGGGAAGGAAGGTGGCTCATATTAGGGGGGTAATACATTTCAAGGCAACACCTGCTGCTCACGACCTCGTCCTCGGGCAAGAAGCGCGAAGCCAATTGCAAACGCCGCAGCTCGCGTGACGACTGACGCGTTTGTACATTCTCGCGGATATCATAATCGCGGATTCTCCGGAGGAACGAGCGCCGCGACTGGCGCTCGATTTGCCGAGTATCCCCGAGACGAAAAGAGAGAGAGCGAGAGCGAGAGAGAGAGAGAGAGAAAGAGAGGAGAGGGGGCAGAGAGAAAGGAACCGAGCGAGACGGACAACGCGGGGTGCCATTTCGACGTCTGATCGGCACGACATCTCCGTGATGCCGCGAACGTGTATCGCGAGTATACGCAGTTCGCGCGGCAAGCGAGCAGTTAGGGGTGGTTTCAAAGATGGCCAGTTCTTTCCGTTGTATTCCTCTGCCGCGGCACACACGGAAGCTCGAGGCGGGCAGAGACAATGAGAGAGAGAGAGACAGAAAGAGAGAGCGAGAGAAAGGCAGAAAGACAGAAAGAAAGAGAGAGAAAGAGCGAGTAAAAGAGAGACAGAGAAAAAGAAAGGGTGAGAGAGAAGATGGACCGATCGAAGGGACTCACGTCTCTCATCTCGCGGCCGCGGCGACGTGCTCACGTGCGAGCGTCGTCGTTCCAGCGAGTCTGTCACCAACGACGATGATGACGGATAACGGGCACGATAGTGCGACACGCAATACACCACTCGTTGCTGATGCTGTTACTGTTGCTGCTGCTGCTGCTGCTGCTGCTGCTGCTGCTGCTGATGCAGTCGCACACGTCGGTCGATGCGCCAGGTGCATCGCCCCAGCAACCACGGCACGAAGCTCACGACTGGCCCGCTGCTTCGCGAGCGAGCGCCAGCCGGGGGTTGGCTCCGGAGTTCACCGGCTCGTCGGGGGAGAGGAAGGGTGCGAGAGAGGTCGGGGGTGAATCGGGGGAGAGACGGACGCCGCGACGCCTGCTGGCGTCCGCGGAAAGTCATCCCCGAGCAGGCGCGACGGGGCGACGGCGCGCGATTGGTGGCTGTCTCGCCGGCGACGGGGTCGCGAGGGGGTTGTGTTGTTTCGGTACCGGTGCGGCATTGGTGACTCCGGAGGTTTGTCCTGGTGGTCTTTTTTTGAAGAGGGGAGCAGCGGTGCCGCGTAATCAACGTGTTTTCAAGCTGTTTTTTTAAACCTCGTTCTATGTCCCGCATTAATTTTTGCTATCGATATCCCTTTTTCCTATAAAGTATATACATTATTATTTCTGATTGTGGGATTATTCTCTTAGAATGAGGTTACACCTTGAACTCTTCAACAGTACTTTTCTTCAATTAAAAAGATAATATTGAAGAATTTAAGGAACTTCTCATTTTTAATAGCATTCCAGAATTAAAATAATACAATGAAATAATTTCAATGTATTTATATCTATTTTGATTTCATTATTATGTTTTTTTTGTTAATGCTAACATTATTTATTCATATTTCTTATTAATTGGGAGATATTATAATTAAATTTGTTAGGTAAGTAGTAATCGATATCATTGATCCGCCGAATATGATGTTAAGGATATTTTTGAGAACAATGCGACACGGAGGGCAGCGCAAGACACTGATTTAATTGGAATCGTAATGGGCGCATTTGTTACAGAGCAAAGTAGCAAATATATGGCACACGTGCCGAACGGGCAGGAATTCATTTTCGATATCAATTAAGCCCGCCACTAGAATGCATATATCCGAATTCCTCCGGTTTGCCACTTCTGACGTCGTCGGCGCGGCCTTGAACCACTTCGCGCGAAACCAATCGCGAGACGCGATATCGCGCGGAACAATCTCGGTATCTAGGTGACTCTTTCCACGGTTAGGGCAATATGTCGAGACACGCTTGGCTGAAGGACAGAAAAGAAGCGCGGCTTTAAATTAATCCGTGGCTAAAGATAGGTCGTTTCGCTTTAAATTTCGCGACCAGAACCACCTAAGTACTTGAAGCAGCTTGTGCAGAGTGGTACCACGTGAAGTGTTAAGAGCGGCCGGTTGCCTCAAAAACTATTAGAGTTACTGGCAAAACTTATCCAATATATTTCAAAGTTTCAAAGTTTGTTATTTTTAATAAAAAATATTAACAAACATTTTCTGGGAAAGCAAGAGATTAAAACGTTTCTCTCTCTTTCTCATGTTTTTAGTGATTATGTATTTCTCATTTTTATTTTGCGTATAAAATATTAATTCAATTATGATTCCTGAAGCTCTCATATCTCATATTTTTAAGAATTTTTTGTATTTTAAATTTATGAAAAGTTTTTTAAAGTGTCTTAAACTTCTTCAAATTTTATAAGTTTAAGGAAATTATAGAATAAAAAATCTTAGAATATTTCAGAATTCACATATAAAGAATTCTAGAAAAGGTGTAAAGATGCTTTCTTAGCATTTTTGAAAAATGTTCTAATTTGAATTAAAAAATCTAAGAAATTTTCAAAGAAGGTTTATAAAAATTTTATTATATCACACGTGCACATGGAAAGTGGCTCATTACGCGCGTGTTTTTTGTGCGACAAATAGCCAATTCCACACACCACTCGAAACAGTGCGGTAATATCTCATTCCCGCACAGTCTCTGAAGTGACTTTTGAGTGAAACACAAAAAACACGCGCGTAATGGGCCACTTTCCACGTACGTGTAATATAAAATAGTGTGTGTAACACGTGCGGGTTAAAAATTGGACACGCGTGCGGGTGATCGCACTCGCCTTCGGCTCGTGCGTCTACTCCGCACCCGTGTCCAATTTTCAACTTCCCGCACTTGTTACACAAATAACTAAATAATTAAATTCGGAAAAATTATGTAAAGTATTCTAAACAAAATTTTTCATCAAACGCTTTGCGTTTTAGTAATCTATGATTAATAATTTAGCAGTCTATAATTATACTAAAGGAAAAATTCTCGAGAAACTATACCAAAGAAAAAGTTATTTCATAAGAATTTGGAAAATTTTCGAGAAGTCATGTAGATGTGGACATAAAAATGGAGGTGAAGACAGAGATCTTTTAAACTCGAAAAGAGACAGATATAAATTTCAATAATTTATTTTGTAATTTTGCGTTTCCTAATGGACAGCACTCGTCTTTTTAAGCAAACAAGAACACGATTAACCACTTCGATCTCTCTCCGTTCTACTTTTCTCAGAAAATATATTGCAAGGGTCCTAGAATGGCTAGCTATCTCGATAAATCTTTGTCAAACTGAAACGACAGCAATCTGACTATGTGCCTTCCACTTCATTCCCTACTCAATCACGCCCTTGAATATCGCAGGAGCTATTGGGATGACTTGATACAAATCCTTCCTGTCAAGACGAAACTTTCTTCCTCTCCTTTGACGCGTTTGAATGATCGCGAACGGCCGGACGAAACCATTAGCCTTGTTCAGCTTCAGATAGAGTCTTACCCTACCTGCAAAGTCCGAGTGTTCGAGTTCCTCGCGAGGAAGATCAACAGGTTCGCGTGCCGGATGTGCCGGCACACGGCGGAAGTCCACTCATCAGCCACGTGAAATCGGTCCGCGTGATACCGATCGGTACGACCTTTCACTCGATGAAAGCCGCATAAGACTCGCGCCGGCGGCGATTCTTCACCCCTTTCTCTCTTTATTTTAGGATTTCGTTATCGCGATTTGTGATAACAGACGATTCACGCGATACGAATCTTTACCCCCCCTCCCCCTTTCGAGTGGTCGACGATCTTCAGATCTTCGAAGCTTTAAACGCGTGACTGTATTTACCACCGTTCCTGCAACGCATCTTCTTTTCTAGTGAACATTAGAACACACAGCTTTTAGACCAACCAAAGAACACGACATAGGAGACCCGTGTAACTTTGGTACGCTGCAACTCTGATTTATATTTAATATTTCAGGACTTGTTTTTTTTATTTAGAAATTCTGAGATTTAAAAATTTATACCTGAATAAGATTGTAATATCAAAAACAGTTTTATTTTATCAAGTTATGAAATTAAAATTAAATATCGAAAATGGAAAATTCCGAACAATCGAAATTTCTGGCTCTGGGAGATCCACACACACATGCTGTGTGTTCTAGAGTTAAAAGTAGTATCTCGATAGTATCCGCTGTTTTATGAATACAAAAAGAGAGCTAGAAACTCCAATCGAAAGAGTCTCTTACCTGCATGACTCGTAAACGAGTCATAAAAAAGGGAACAGGAGAGGACGGGGAATCGACGGGGCGTTGTACAAACAACGGGTGGCTTTACGACCGTCAGGACGATTGTCGAGGTGGAAGAAGATAAAAACGTTACACGACGCGTAAAAGTGTAGGCCATCTATTCTCACTTTTGTCAGGTCGTACTACATATACAGCTTCGCTTCTCGTCGGCATGGCGGTCTCACTATTTTTCCGAGGCCGACTATACGCATACACGTGATGAGGAGAATACATAGCTAGTTAGATAAACGAACGGGGGACGGGAAAGGAGAGGGGGGAGGGGAAAAAATCGATGGAAGATAAGTACAAAAATTGTGTAAGGCTAATGTTTCTCGGGGGGTGGGAGAAAGGAACCTTATTCGAAACCTAAACAATAATTGTCGGGGTGCTCGACCACGGTTTTTGTTTTCGCTCCTATCTCCTTCCCGGAAAGTTTGCCGAGTATCGCAAAGCTCCGGTGAAAAAATTTTATCAACGTGAGAAAAAAAACCGACACGTGACGGGGTTGGAATGGCTCTCGGGGTTAGTTGATTAGCACGCGAGTTTCGATACTGACGACCAAAGTTCGCCGGCAAAAACCAGACAAGCCCACTTTTTTTCGCGCGACGAATGAGTCGTCCATTATTTAGCGCTCGTTTTACTAATGGAATATCGATTGACACCACGAGTGTCCGCTCCCGGGCGCGCGCGACCGGGTGGAAAAACTTGGCCTGCTTCTTTTGGATTTCCGATGTTTAATCGTCGGGACCATTCAATTTCAAAACAAGTCGAGTAATACATAATTTTATTATTTTCTAGTTTAATTAATCAAAAATCAATTATTTGATTAATATAATAGTGGCACTTTTATATAAGTATTTGTAAATTTTAGACGCTCCCTCGAACGTCCAATCGTTAATTCGTTAAAAGTACGCTCAACATTTAATTTTGACCGACACTGATTGAGAATCTTTACCACAAATTTTTTAAATACGTTAATTTTTGTTTTTTATTTACACATATAATAATTTATATAATATTTAAGAAAAATTATTCTTAACATGATATTTCCAAGAGAAAATAATCTTGATATATGTTACAATTATAAGAAACATTTAACGTTTCTAGCTTACGCTAAATTAATTTAGTCAAAGAAATAGTAATTAATAATTTAATTATTTTCTTACTGAAATAATATATCAAAGTGATATTACTAGGTTCTTCCAAGATTTCTCTACAACAATGGAGAAAGACGAACTTGTCTGACTATTACAACCGGATCTACTAATTTTGTTTAACAGTTTCGTTTCGACTCGATAAACGCCCAGTCCAAGCGAAATATTTCGTCATATCTTCTGCACATTTCCCCGGCTTTTTCATGACGATAGAAAAATATAAACCTGTCCAATTATCGCAGTCGGGCCGTCCATTACTATCTCGCGAATCCTCTTATAGAAAAATTTCCTCTCACACAGTGATATCGGAAGAAATGGGCTTGTCGGTCGTTGCGGATCAAATTTCCGATTTCGTCTTCTCTATTTCGTCGCGGTGAGTCAAGATAAGAAAAAAAATTAGGAGATTCCTTTATCACAGAATTTTTCCTTGCCTTCACAACAATTCATCGGACAAATTCGCGGGTCTCTTTTTGAAGAGCAAGTACGAGGCAGCAGTTCTAATCTCGGATCCCGCTTTCTGGAGTACGCGAGAGGGAACAGTAGCGATAATAATTGACAAGTTTTTCCGGCGGGGCACCCTCCCCCTTCGCGCGAGGGGGAGCTTTTCCCCCGCGCTTGGTCGAGTCTACCGCGCTACGCAATTACAATTATTTACAAAAAATCACAACGACCCTCAACGGCTCGAGTCGCTTGTCCCACGCTATTTCTCTATATAATCTCGTTAACGTCCGCGAGAACACGTGTAACGTTTATTGTATTGTACATACACGTATGTACACGCGAAGGTGCCATGCCGTCGTCGTAGACGCTCGTAAATTGTTTTACTGCCGCACGTTTAGCGCTGTCTCGTGACGAACGGAGGACGTTTCGCGAAAGAGAGCACACTTAAAAAATACGGCTCCCTCGTGACAAGCGAGAGAAGGTAGAAATCTAAATTTCACTTGAGTATACAATTAACACAATTATTTCCTACGACCTACAATATCGTCGTGCGTTTATATCAGGCAGATATAGCGCTAAACGTGGCCACCTGTTTCACGCGATGCGCAAGAAAGGGGAGCGACACATTCGTAAATCTCCAATTATCTTAATCATATCAACGATCTCTACGTCTTTTTATAGAACGGATTAGGCAAATCGCACACGTTTAACATCGTAGACGCTGTAACACGCCTAAGCGGCAGGAATACGGGCTTATTTGCGTCACGGCGGCGTCGATAAGAACCTCGCGTGCATGACTCACGCTAAACGTCCGCCTAGAATAATGCTAGAACAGCTCGCTCGGTTGCGCAACTATGCCGAGCTCTCTGTCTTCGAATACTGTACGAGTCGTGTGACTGTGTGTGTGTGTGTGTGTGTGTGTGTGTGTGTGTGTGTGTACGTGCGTGTGTGCGTACGTGCGCTCGTGCGTGCGTGTGCGGTACGTGCGTGGGTCTACGCACTTCCGGTCGTACGAATGACCGCGCTTAATCATACCACGGCTCGTCGCTCGTTCGCGTCGCGTCGAAAAGGCGAAACGACCGGGTTGTCATGGTAAATCTTAATAAACAAATTAATTAACGCGAGATTACGGCGAGATTCGCCCTCTTCGCTCTTCTCAATTCGCGACAGAGAGAGAGGGAGAGTGAGGATGCGGTCGATTGCGGTAATCGTGATGCCTAATATTGTGATCGTCGCTTCTTCACGAATGACATTGTATAACTATTAAATAAGTAGTCATCGTTTTTAAATTACAACGGAATATCTTAATGACGAACCGGATATTAAGCTGCAATACTCTGATATGTATTGCAATTGCGATATTGTGTAATTAGTATTGTTAATATTACTAATCAGCAGCGTTGTGTTAATAATACTAATTAGTAATATTAATATTACCAATTGTTATCGACAGTATATCTACTAAAATACTGCTGACATCAGTATTGTAATATCAAAATGTTAACAAATTTTGCGTAATATTACAGTTTAATATCTGGCTGTGGTAGTTGTTGACGTACGCTCCAACATCGCATTTGTCTTCTATATTGTCATCGCATTACACCGATCGACTCCACTTTGCTCTCTTTCACTAACCGTCATTCTAATTTCGCGTGGTTAAAGTTCATGTAACTGTCCGAGAACTGTCCCACTAATCGGGCGACTTCGAGGTGACCTTTTGCCTCTCTTCTTCGGAGATCCTGGACACTCGGCGACTGTTTCAGGACTACCTTTTGTGATTGTGACCGTTGCCCTTGCTCCTGGGACTGTCCGAGGCCACGTCGTTGGGCTCCCTCCTCTGTCTCAGTATGAAGTTGAGATTGTGCGCAGTATTTACAGCATAGTAGACGTTGGCCGAGTTGGGCAGCACCATCTCCCGATCGGGTAGCACCTGGGCCAGGGTGTATTGATCGGGGCTACCCTCGAGGCCGAGCTTCAGCATGGCGTTTCGGATAACCTGCGGCGTTCGCTCGTTGTTCGACAGCATTATAGACTTGTACAGCACCACGCCCTCCGTCTCCACGTTGTCCGTCTCCATAGTGACCTTAATGATGTAGAAGTCCGGCGAACTTTTGTGCGAGTGACTGGGACTGGACAATCCGGCGAGATTGGGAGTGCTGCCGTTGGCCGCCACGGCGCCCGCCGGCGGTGCCAGACGAGTCTGATGATTGCCACCTCCTCCGCCAGAGCTCAGGGACACGTCCAGGGACGGCAGAGACGAGCTCGAGGACGAACTGGACATTTGCGACGGTGAGGTTCGCCGGTCCAGCGAGTTGTGCGGCGAGCTCGGGAGGGAGTCGAGGTCGCAGTAAAACTGCGAGCTGCTCGAACTGGACGTTGAGGCGATCGAATCATTCTTCCGGTGACCTTGATGAGCCTGCAAGACAAGTCCCAAGATTTAATTCTCGTTTAGATCCTCAATCGTTGGCAATCGAAGATAAATTAATGCGTATTTATTTCAAGAATATTCGGAATATAATTATTATCAAAAATATTATTGCCTGACATACTTGTTTTACAATCTTGGTGAGGAAATTTTGGCAGTCAGATTATATATTTTTGAGAAACTTGACGATATACGTTACAGAGAAATTAGATTAGAATATTTCTTATAAAGAATGCCGACCTGTTTCTTTTTGCCGCGATTGTTGAGGGTGTTCCCTGGTGGTGGCTCGATCTGGCAGCTGAGTTTATACGCTTCCCGATCGTCCACTATCACCACTGAGTGGAACCAGCGATCGAACACAGGGTCCAAGCTGAAGTTATACGCGTTCGCCGCGCCCTGCAGGAGCCTTATCCTGGCGAGCACCTCGAACTCCTTTCGTCTCTTGTCAAAGTTGATGAGACCGTCGGCTATCGTGTCCGGTATCGCCGTGTCGATCATGGTGAGGTCAGTCAGGAAGGTACCTAGGTACGGTATCGTGCCATAGCTAATGTTCTGAAAATAAATTTTTTGAAAATTTGTGATTATTGAACAGTAAAAGAAAAGACTTTAAGAGGAAATGAGAATGGCGTTATAGAGAATATATTCGTCTGTATAAATATTGAAAAGTAACATTCGTATATTGAAATTAAATACGACTTAAGCTCGTTGTTTACTATAAAATAATTAATTTAAAAATTTTTAAATATAAATTTTTATACATTAATTATTATTATTATAAATTGTATATAATTAATTATAAAATATCGAAAATAAATTTTAGTTTTATATATGCACTCAGTATCGTAATTTTTATAATTACAATTCTAGTCTCGTTAAAATTAAACCAGTTGTCCATTTAACTCAGGTATCACCGATGTAGGTGATAAAACTTTTAAAATTTAAAAATTCTTAAAACCAAATGTCAAGATATTATTATTTTACACAACAAACTTTCTTAAATTCTTTATATAATCGCTACTACGATTTTTCTTCGGACGTAATATGATTTAAATAAATGTCTATAGTCATAGTCATAGTCTATACGATCAGTTCAGAAAGTTGAGAAAAAAGTTGAAAGGTCTCACAAAAGAGAACGATGTTATCGCACTTACGCCCGCGTGAGTATTCTGTTTCTGAAAGACCTTCTGCAAATGCCTGTCACTTCTGCCGGCAGTATCGGCGAATTTGGCAGTGCCCTCCTTGATGAGTAACTCTCTCTGCGTCCAGGCGTTGTTCTCCTCCGAGAATATCCTCTCGAGTTCGCGGAAGAGCTCGTGCTTTTCCCGGGGCATACACTGCCAGCACTTCTCCAGCCGATACACCGGATTGCTTTGGAGGCCGGAAACGATCGCCTTTAGGCTGCTGAAATTCTTGAGTACTCGCAATTCCTGTGCGACGTCGATCCACGTCTCGAGGATCCTGGCGCGCTCCTGCGATTTGAGCGTCGTGTCCGTCAGGATCGTCGAGATCACTCGCAGGGAAACGGCGTTGAATTGGTTCACGGTCGCCACCACTGTAGCGGCTTCGTGGCTTCTAGAACGATCCTTCCTGGACCATACGGCGCCGAGGCACTGATGGGCGACCAACTTCTTGAACACTTCGGCGTCCATCCGGGTCAGCTGCTCGGCGAAGTGACGGTGGGGCACCTCGGGGAAGATGTAGTTCCCCCAGTGATCCGCCATCGGATCCGGGGAACCGCGCATGGGTAGTCGACCATTGTCGTACACCATGCAGGAGTCTAGAGAAAAGGGAAAGACGCAGGCTGAAGTTAATCTGGTTCAGTCTAAAATTAATTTGAATTGATACATGGCAAAATGTTAATGTTCATAATCGAAGTCTTTTTATAAAACTTTTTATTTTATACATTATAATTTTTTAAGTACAAATTATTGCAAAATTTAATTAATTTAGAAGAATAATTTAAATCAATTTTTGCAGTTGTGATACTTTAATATTTGAGATTAGGAATTCAATTACATTAAATTTAAAAACAATTTTAATATAATAGATTTTTCTCAAATTTCTTTTAAGAATGTCCAGATTATTATTACATTCTATCAACTCTTATTAGTAAGAACAATTGAACAATTATGTTCTTACTACCGCAATTATGTTCTTGTAAAAGCTTCCTTTTGTGAAATTTTTCCGAAATATTTTCCCTCTGCCTTCTATCGCTTAAAGTAAAACCATTTCTATTTTGGGAATATCGCAACTGGATCGGGTTCTCCATCGGGCGAGAGCCCTGAGTGAAAGGTGAGCCCTGCCCCGGTCGTGGCGGTACAACGGAGCCTGTGGACCCTCAATTTATACACGGGAAGCAGACGCCTTTGTGCGAGCGCGAGTAGCCTGATTGAGCCTTTCACCGCCGTTAACATTCAGACTCTCTTTCCGTTTGCCGAACTCCTGACAGGGTGATTCTTTCGTAATGCTGTTCGAGCCGCGGTAAAATACGCCGTTTAACTTTTTCCGCACTCTGGAAACTCGCGAGATACGTCGAAAGGCATTTTGCGAGACCTGGATACAGAATCCACTCAATAATATTCCATCTGTTATATTTTTCTTTTTTGCACAAGTTCGAGGAGATAGTTCCATAATTCCTATGGAGGTTGTGTGCGATAATGTTCGACCTTTTCTTTGCGAACACTGTATTCAAAGCATAATATTCCAGCTCGCTTATCGCGATTCGGCGAATTCGCAGTAAATAAAACAAAACGTCATGTAGGTCGTTGCTTGTTACGTTCGAATTGCATAAGCAATATATCATTATTACTCAATTTTATTGTCAGACTCGCCGTTAACCCTTTGTTATCATTGAATGTTTCTTCGAACTTTATTTAAATAAATATAAAATAATTCCGGATCATATATTTCAATTTCATTAAATAAACATTTGTTATTTTAAAATTGTGCTTCAAATAGACGGTCACATATTGTATTAAAACACAGACAAAACATAAAAATACAAAACTGTTTTCAGAAACATGATAATAAAAAGATAAATCTATTATATTAATTCCAGTTGATCATATTACATTGATATTATAGAAATAAATTTGACATTAAATACATTATTTTTATTTCAAATAAATTAACAGCATAATGCTCTCTTTTCTCTCAATTTAACCAAAACGATAAGACTCTCTCTCTCTCTCTCTCTTTCGTTCTGTATTTAAACTTCCCACGGTGCCTTATCTGTTATACAATTCTTCGTATTTAGAGTTCAGGGCGGGTGAAACGACGTGACTCACTCTCCAAACCGGAGAAACAACGTTACCTATCTGATCCTCCCGCTGGAACCGGTGCAGTCGGTGCTTGGCCTTAAGCTCGAGCTCGGAGCCGACGAGGCGTTGCTGCGTGAACTCGAGGAGCCTGGTGAGCAGGGGGTGATTGGGGGGTGACTTCCAGTCGCCCGGGTAAGCGTCCAGCCAGACGTGCAGGGCCTGGACCAGGGTCTTGCGGTGCTGCTCGCAACCGGCGCTCCCGTCCAGGGCGTCGTATCGCGCGAGCAACAGCTCGAGGACCTCACGAGGGCTGGTGAACGCCCGGTACGTCGCCAGGAAGATGTTTATGTAGGTGGACTCCAATTCGCCGTCGTCGTTCGCCAGGCTCTCGACCAGCCGCTGCACCGTGCCGGCCTTCAGGAAGCGCACCCTCACCGTCTCCCATTCCAAGTGCGAGATCTCGTCGTCGGAATCCTGGCAAAGTCGCAACAGGCGCATTACTTGAGTGTTAAAGCTATTAGCGTGAGAGCAAACATACGTTTTGAAATCGGGTTTCTTTAAAAATAAAGCTTTTAAATAAAAGTCTTTAAATAAAGACGTGACTAATACGAAAACTGACTATTATTCTTGAAACTTCTACATTATTTACGAAGAAAACTACGATTCTCAGATCAAAAAACGCTGTGAAAAACGTTGATTGTAAATGGATTTCAATTCAACCGCGATAAAAAAAGAACAAATTAAATTGGTAAAACTTAATAAACGGTAAAAATCTAAAAATAAAATTAAATTGAGTAAAAATTGCTGAACCTAAAAAATCTGGATTAAAAATACTTCGATCATACTCACCGATGCTGAGAGACTTCTCGTAGGCCGGTGGTATCGGACCTTTTTTAGGTATACCGTGTATATGACGCCGTCGCCCCTTTCCTCGCCCCATAAACGCCACGTGGGCTGCAAAGTAGAAAATCGAACGCCGAACTTAGTCATGAACGTCCGTATATATCAATAAATGCTGTAGGCGGGTATAACGGAACTGATAACGAAGGACCGCACACCAGGGGATGATTTAAGCTCCTAATTTCATGGCGGAGTACTCGCCCACCCCCTGTCGCGAGCTAATAAACTCGTCGTAACAAACAAACCGGGCAACTTGGAATAAAAAAAGAATGAATCTATTTTTTCTGTTTGTAATTGATTTATTTATGATGATTAGAAAGTTGACACGAATTTAATTGCAAAAGTTATGTTAGAAGGAGGAAGTAAAATTTTGCACGAATAATAATCGCGATTCTGCATTAATTATTCAAATTAATTGCCGTAATACGTAATTATTTTTATACATATATCCTTTCTCGTACTGATTACAAAATCATCCCCCGAGCTGCCTTTCTATGTACTAAATTTAACAGACTACGTACATGCTTCATTGTTTCTAATAACTTTTTTCTCGAAACCTTTGTAGTTATCAAGATATAACTAAGATTATATGTTAAATCTAAAAATATCACACGTGCTAATGTAAACATTTCTGGCAAAATGCTTCAGAATATTCGCGTCAAACTATGAAGATGTGATACGATACAATCTATTCTTTTCAAAATTTAATCAGGTGCTTAATTACGTTTCTTTGTTTCTGAAGCTTGACTTACGCGCTGCGAAGCATTCTGAAGAATCATCGTGAAATTGGTGCAAGAATCAGGATAAAATGGCATGGGAATGAGATAAGCATTGATCAGCGATCGATGTTTTGAAACGAGATAAATCGAGATAGTTGTCAAGAACAAGAGAAACTCAAAATCTATATTGACTATATTTTCTGATCTCCTCGACTTTTAATTCAATGAATAAATCATGAAATCAACTGACTCATGTCCATGCATAATAAACACGCACTTCGTGTATGCGTGTACGCATATGTATACATGCAAGCTGTGTTATGTACTTATCAGTGACAGTCGAGCTACACAGGCAGTCTATATAATTAATTCTAACTTGATAAAGACGGGCTCGCTCACGCGATGACGTAACGCCGCGTGATAACGTCCGTCTTAAAGGTAGTTAGCCTTTGGGAAAGGTGTTTCAGACGCGTTATCGTCGCGGAAAGAAACTGCAATTAGCGATCTTCATTACGGACGGCTTTTCGCCGTCCCGCAAATATAACAATTAGTCGGCTTAACATCGAATTGAAAAACCCAATAAAAATTTGTAAATCCGGCTTTAAACACATTAATCCTTTATGAGTAAGCTGATTTAATTAACCTTGTAGAACGATAAAATTTAACGAAGTTTGAGAAATTAATTTAATTACGCTTTTATATTAATCACATTGACATAACCGTCATTTATTCGGGACTTAATTGCGATCGAGTGTGGAACGTGACACCGGCAGGGCGCTTGTCGTGTCACGTCCATTTATTTGGCATTGAGATCTTGTAAACAAAGCGGGTCTTAGAGGCCGTAAAGGGGGCTTAATGTCGTGGAATCCAGCACGACAGACGTATACGCATTCGCGTTGGCACGAGCGATTACAATCGAAGCCGTACTGAGGACACGCCGCGCCGATGAGGAACGATCGTAATAGAGACTCGACGGAAGGAGAAGCGTGTCATTGCCGTCTCTCTCCGATACTTTTTCTCGTTTCTCGAGAAAAGAAATCGTCTCGCGGGAAAACGACTGAAGCCGGAACCTGTAGAGACATCGTGCTTGCTTATCCTGTTGGATGCATTATCAAGAGAGTGTCTCTCCCGAGAGGGATTGATTAAAAAAAGTGTTCGCAGAATTGTTTACAGAGAATTACGTATTTATTATAGATATATATAATTTTATATAGATTAGATTTCATAAAAGTAAATTAGTGGAACGAAGTTAAAATGAATTATGAAGTAATAAATCCTTAAAATAGAGAAGCTAAAATGTCAAAAATATTTTTTTAGTTGAAAATCGTGAAATTATTTATTCGGATAAAATATCGTCGTCGACACGTTAGAATTAAATTGTATCTGCTTATTAATTAATTTTAATTAATTTGTAACTTATTTTTAATGTTGAATTAGATTTCTTTCTATTTAATCTAATTTAAACTACTTCGAATTAATTCTGATCTAATTTAGGAATCATAACGAAAACTTCTCGCGTTAATAATTCTAATATGAATAAATTAATAATTTTTAAATACTTGATCTAATTTAGGCTCCGTGACAAGAATTTCTCTTTTAAAATTAATTTAATTAAAAAATCTGCATCTCGCAATTTAAGGATTATCTGACAGATTTGGCATTAAAAATTCAAACGGCGGAGAACTCTATCGATCCCATCTCGATGTAAGCGAGACCCAAGAAACGAGGGCCTGAAGTCCACCCGCTCACGCCCCGGAACGACCGAGCAATTAAACGCCCGCAGGAGGAACCTGAGCGTGACTCGAGGTCCTCGTACCTGTACTCGTCCTTGGCAGCCGCTCGGGCAGCCGCTTCCTTCGAGTGTCGATTCACCATTGTTCGGCTGTAAACAGCACGAGCCGGGCCTCAATTGCCCGTTTCTTACGCAAAACTACGCACGGAATATCTCCCGATCGAGGTTGAATCGTAATTAGGGACATTTCCGGCAATAAGACCCGTGGAATCGTATGGTATTATTCGTCGATCACGTCATGCAGGATAATAGCGTTTTTACCTTAAAACATGCGCGCACACCGCCTCCGTTTATCTTATTTAATTCTACGAAATAACAACGGTGTATATATTGTATTTATTATTATGTAATCTAAAAAGTAACTTTTTTTATTTTTTTTTTTCAAATAGAAATTAAATATTCATGTATGCAAATGTTTGAACAAAAAATTTAACTGCGAATGCCAAAAACAAAAATTTTAGAGGAACCACCTAATCTCAGAAAGGCTTCGCATAAAATTACAAAAAGATGGACTAAATTTAACCCAAGATACTGAATTAAGGAACTACTTGACAACGCGCACTTTCCCATTAAAAAAGAAAGTTCTCAAAGGGAGAAATAGAAAGAGAGAAAAGATAAGGATTTGAAAAGAGATTGGATTTAAATTTGAAACAGAGAAAACTAAGAAACATTCAAAAAGAGCAGCATTGAACAAAGTAGAAAACATCTCCCACTGCTCCCACAGAAGACATAAAAACAGTAAAAACAGAAAAGAGGGTATTATCAACAACAATGACTACTAGATAAAAATAACGAACTCAAGGGCGTGCTCAGTCAAAAGCCACCGACTGAAGGAGCTTGTTTGTCAGTAGAGATCGTAACCGGTCTTGGAATTCGCAACCAATTGTAAGTATAATTATTTGTACTGTAGATTAGTTACACAACCGCGCTCCAAACTCGTACTGGCGTATCTATTTGTAATTACAGTCAAAGGAAGCTGTTGAATTAAATAGTACTCATTTATTTCGAAGACTTTGGAAAAGTATACTGACGCAAAATAATTTTCAAAGCAAATTGCATGTGTATTTCGATTGGAACAAATACCCGGGCTCATAAATAGAGAAGCATTTTCGCGATTTTGCACCCGATCGAACGACACAGGTGCAACGACTTCCCGAGTAACTCGTGCTTTCCGAATTTTAATGTTAGTCGCGTGTAAATGGACTAAATATACCGAGTGGCGCGTACCGTAGATACGCGATTCGCGCAGGTTCGGGGATCGATCGTCGGGAACGAAATGCAACATTCATGACATCATGTCGACGTCGTCGTCGTCGCGCGCGCGACTATAAGTAAATTGACGGCTGTAGCAGAGTACACGGTGAAACGGGTGAAACATTGTATGTCGTCTGCCGTTTCTGGAACGTCGAGATTACCGCTCGGGACGTTGTACGTCTGCCGCGTGCGAATGGCGAACACGGCGAACGGCGTCGCGGAATCCCGCAAATGTCCCGCCGGGGTCAACGGTCCGCCCGCGAGGTCCCGAAATACATCCCCATTATTTCCCGTTGGATTCTCCAACGCGGAATCCACGTCGGAGGCTACCGTGAAACCGCGCGGCGTGCTGAAACGCTAGAGCGCAACCATACGCAACAAACGCGGATCCCGCCGTCTTTGTATCGCTGAATCTCGATCTTATTCTTCTGTTTCTAGAACTGCTGACTAGAAACTGTATAATAAATCCCGATTATTATCGTCTCATTGAAGGAAATGAGGAGCGCACGATGTTTTTCTGCGGTAAAATTCAAGATCGACACCTCTTTAATTACTGAAAGAATATTTTTGATAAATATAGTGCTTGAATTTTTTTATATAACATATTATGCATATAATTATACATACATAAATTATAATTATATGTGTAACAATCATAATTACATATATATTTAGATAATAATGATATTAATAATAATAATGCAAAGTTAATCAAAATCTATTCCAATTTTAGAAATTGATAAAAATCCCGTTTTTTTTTTAATAAAAAAATGACCTTTGTGAGAAAAAATTTTCTAAGTTGGATAATGACTGATTAATGCAAATTATTTTCGCTGATCGAGCTGTCAGGCGATCACTTCTTTCTTCCACTCAGTCAGTTCCGATGACACTCTGACCCTGATTATTCGGTTAAACAGCCGGCGTGTGTGCGACACACGCACGGTGTACGTAATCCGGGAATCAGTGTCACTTATTGCTTCCAAGGTTCAGGGGGAGGGGTATAAGAATGGATATAATTGCGATAATGCGTCTACCGCACACATATAAATGCGAAATCGTGTTTGACATGCACTAAAGCCTGAAAAAATTGACATTCGTTTTTTTTTCGTGCATTTTAAGATTAAATTAAATCTTCACTCATTGCAAAAACGATACTGGTGGCAGGTCACATGCAAACGTACAGGGTGTATCGTAAAGATAAATACATTCTCCGATCAAACTCCGAATTTTTTGTCAAAGAAGAGATTTGATCGAATCGAGAATCCTTGTCAGCAAAGTCTCGCAAAACAGGCGTTGAATTAAAAATTTGTTATTGGATGAATTTTGATTAAAAAATATAGACACTCGGAAAAAAATAATGTTGCATTAACAGTTGTATTAGTCCAATTAAAAATAATCTTGTTAGTGCAATAACAGTACTAATTAATTAAACAAATACGTCATGCTTTTGTTTTCATAAAATGTTATCTGTTTCGTTAATACTGTTATTTAATTAACAATTTAAGCTTATTTTTAATTATACCAATGCTGCTAATATAATATTTTTTGTCTGTATAGATGAGACTAATGTGAAAAGAATCGACTGATGAATTACTCATCGTATGTTATATTTATATTACATAACTCCACTTTCGGCGTTGAAGAATTTTGCGATTAAGCTTGCTTAACTCGAGTGTTTGCCGAGAGCGGGTCGCATTATCGGGAGCATTACGATACACCTCTCGTGCGAAATATAACATATGATTACAAGCACGCTCAATGACAAAAGCGCTGGCAAATCAAACAATAGAAACAAATCAAATGGGAGTAAAATCGCGCCAGCTCGAGCATATACCGATCTTATCGCGCTCGATACGTTATCGTTATCCCGTAATCTTCCCGCGTCTACTACTCTCCACGAGAGACGGCTCTTTCAGTTCAGGCAAATGCACGACGAGAGAGAAGAGCGGGAGTCGTCGTCAGTAAAAACGAAGCAGAATGAACGAAGGCGTAAAAGCAGCAGGATGCCGTCCGGTCATCCGGAGTCACAGTGTCTCTCTTTACCTGTTGCACGTACCACTGGGTGGAGCTCTGGTTCTTCCGGTGGCCACCGGGCTTGCAAGGGGCGCAGAGCAGCAGGGGAGTCAGTTTGTTTACCCCCTTGGCGGGGGGGCCGGTCGTCGCCGGCGTCGTGGGCGACGCTGTGGGACTCAGCCCGTCATCCCCCCCCAACACCGGCCACAGCATCCACGTGTTTTGTCCTCTGCCCCCCTCTGTCTACCCCGTCCTCGCTCCTTTCGTCGCTCCTGTCACCCCCTCGGTGCTTCCGGTACCCCTTTTTTTTATTGCGAAACTGCACTTCTCCGCCCCTTGCGTCCTCTTGTTTGTCTTCTTTGTACCCTTTTGGTGGTACACCCTTTCTCTCGGGGAGGCGATCTGCTTCCGGAAGCCTACTCTACGACGTGAGCTGTCGCGACGCCCGTTGCCGGCGAACTGAGATCGTCGGCCGACGTCGCGTCACCACGCCTCGCTGTCGATGACGACGTTGACGTTCACACGGGATCGCCCGCTCGGGGTACAGGAGCGTATCATGGTATCGGGCCGAGGCGGATTTCCGACGTTTGACAGCTGCGGCTGAAGTTTGAGAGTTCGATCGGTTGAGGACGAAGGACACGCTTGGGTGTCGGAGTAGTTCGCGGAGTCACTTCGTCGTCATTTCATATATATAATAATAGTGAGAACTGATATCTTTCAAGACCATCGCGATTTTACACGAATATCGATTGTGTTTATTCTGAATATAAATGTCTGAATTTGTCCGTAGGTATACATTTTCAGGAATAAATCCGAACCAGGTCACCCATCCCTCAGAGTTTATTTTAAATCCACCCCCGAATATTGACGATTTCTGAGCGTCATCATCCGGAGAAAGAGACACTGATGAGATTTTGATGTAAATTTAGGTTTTAATTACAATTCATTAAAGTGACATTAAAATTTAATTTTTGTTTTTTAATATTACGGACAATATATGCAGAAAGTAATTTCAGAATATAAATCTGAATTCTAATTTTGAACATATCCATTTCAAATTGAGTTTAACACAATTATCAATTGTTTGTCTTTTTTGCGTTTTTGCGCACGTTGCCCACTCTTTGATTTGCGCCAATTTACGGAGTTTTGGATTTGTTTCAAAATATTTTATTCCTATCGAAGAGTTACTTTTATATACGTGAATCTAAATCTACATTATTATTTATAGATTACTCATCCTTCATAATTTATGTACATTAAATCCATGCGTAAAAATTGACGTTTTCTAAATGTTATTGTCCGGAGGAAGAAACATTAAGAAAGTTTTAACATAAATCGAGGTTTTAATTACATTCCATTAAAGGTATAATTTTTAATATAACATACATGTAGAAAGATTAGCTCTGAGTATAAATTTGAATTCTAAATTGAAACGTATCTGTTTCGAACTGATTCGCATGCATCATCGCGGCCCTGGCAACCAAGTGCGCTATCGTACGTTTACGCTTATCGATGATCGATCGTTCTTACACACCTGCCTTACAACGGGACTGCGTGCGGAGACAAACACACGACACTCGATACGCTCTATTTCGGGAAGTTAACACGAGAACAAGACGTCGCTTGCTTGCCACGCTTCAATAGCTAAGACAATTAATTAGCTTTGGAAGCCAATTAATTGTCCTGGCTTCGAAGGGTGAAGGGTCATAGGTGACACATGCGTGTTTATACTTCCGGTATCGTTCACGTGCGCAACCCCATCGCACGAGGCAATTGTGTATTTCGAGCAGGATGCATGGAGTTGCGTAGCCCGATCTCACTCTCGATCTTTCTCCCCTTTCGAAGCTAAAGGGCAATTTTATGCAAAAGGTCTAAAGGGCGTGTTATTTAAATGTTATTTTATAACCAAAACGAACGCAAAAATCTTTTTGCAATGCAAAACGACCACGTCCGATTTAAATTTACGTTTAATTTTGCTTTACTCGGTTTAATAATTCGAAACGATCGCAAAATGAATAACAATGAACGACGTTGTAGCACAAATATGGGACAGGAGTTGTACATTGTTCGGTTATTCGGCTAAGTTACAATAAAGATAATTAATTCAATTGCGACAATCGTTTAATTCGATTGTTCGAGCTCGAACTGTGTTTCTCTCGCGGAATGGTACCAGCCACTTCGATAAGCTTCTCCGCGAGACCTCACCTCGGTATCAAAGGGTTAAATGCATTTGGTATCTCGCCATGTGAAAACGTGTGACGCACACACGTCTTGTCGATTGCCAATTTGTTACGTCGCCATTGCGTTTCGTTCCATTAATGGGCGATAATCCTCATTCCGCGAGTTGACCGCGGCGACCGCACGCGCGGGAACGATCTCCGACGCGATCTCGTCGGCGCGATTTAATGTCCTCGTGAACGAACGTGGGACTACCTATGGAATGGGACGCGGGGCGACGGAGAGAATATTTTTATTCTCGTTTTTTATTCCCGAGAGGAAGAAAGTATTCTTAGGGCGCGTTGTTTAGAATAGTCCGGCACGGGCGCGCGGAGAGGAGAAAGCGCGTTATTATGCATTGAGGAGCGCGCGCGACCATTTCAGAAATACGCTTCTAAACTATCTTTAGAGCATTAATGTGTCCAGACATCTCTCGAAATATCCCCGGCGTATTTTTGCTCTCCGGAGAAAAGTTTCTAGAATACTTTCTCCACCTCGCGGAAGAATTCAGTCAGGGTTTTTTTTCCAGGGTACTCTCATAGATGCGGAATGTTCCCTCGGTCGCGCAAACGAGACGGGCCCTGATTCTCGATTGTGTTTGTCGGGGAATAAGAGAGAATCCGGCAAAGAAAAGGCACATATCAGGGCACTGATTGGGACGAGCTCGTTCCTCGCAAACGAGCTGGATCGTCGAAATTCGATTATCCCTCGCGATTGAATTTCGCCAGCTGGACAAACGTAACGAGAACGTCATGGTACGAAGGGGGCCCTACGTACGCAACGGCGATTAAGTAGAATACGTGGAATGATAAAAGTGTCGATGCCCGTCGACGCCTCGCTCGGCGACGAACGATAAAACGAACGCCCCATGTCGCGGCATGACACGAGTAGTGACCAACGGGCGTATATGTCGCAACCTTAACCCTTTCGGAAACGCGACGCATCGGAACTCGCGCGCGACTGACGATTTCCTTAATTTTATCTCGTATATTTAATGCCTCAATTAAGAGTAGACTCTTCCAAATTGTTGCGCCCTAATTACGAATCTTTTCTTATCACGATTACTTGTACATAACAAATCTATCTCGTATTTAATTCCTCAATTAAGAATAAACTCTTCCAAGTATATATATAGTCGCGTTCTATTGCGGCGTAATTACTTCTCGGTGAAAAACAGTCGCGCGATATTCTTCCTCTTAACTCCAGTTTCTTTTTATCACGTTTATTACTTCTAATAAAATTAGCGATCGTACACAACTTTTTCGAGTTTGGCAAGAATTCGTTTGTAAAAGATACGCTTAAAAGTTCCGCCACACTTCGGACGATAATAATTAAAATAATTTCCTGCGTTGTCTCAAATTATTCTGACCAAGTTTCGCAACTCTTGTGTCTTTCTTTCTTCACAGCGGCGTTAATTTGATGTTAATAAAATCAAATTTTTGCTTTATCGTGACGAAAGTCCCTAAAGAAACGAGCAAACAAAAAATAGGCTCAAAAATGATTTTTGTAAATCGATTTTCGAAATTTTTCTGGTGCGTGCAAGAGATGTTATTTACCACGGTTTTCCGTTCAGAGTGACGGATTCCGCGACGACGTACGTCCGCAAAATGCTCGCGGAGCCGATCTATCTGAAATCTCGCGTCTCTCGATGCGACACACTCTCGAGAGGAGTACAATCGGAATGCATTATGCAACACAGGTATTGTCCACGAAGGGATCGAGGCAGCGGCTCGATCGTTCGGCGCGGGAGGTAGCAGGAAGTGCTTAACCCACGTTTAAGCACCTCTCGCATCTCCCGTGTCATTTAGCGGCTTTAATGGCATCCATGTAAAACCCTTCATCCGCAATGGAGGATCCTAATTGCCCCGGTTTCCGCGCGCTCTCCGCTCTAGAACTGGCCATCTATAATAATTACGCCCGTCCCTTTGTGCGTGCATGGTGCATGGACCACAGAATTACCCTCCGGCCACTATAGGAGCTATCGATTTTTGGCGAAAGCAAAATGTGGGAATATTTCGCGAACGGTTGAAGCTCTTTCTATACCGTAAACTGCAATATTTCTTATCGCGAGGATTAATTTGTCGGTGGACTTAGTGACAATAATAAAAATTTGCGGCTCGATGCTATTATAAATAAATGTAAAATATGACAAATATAAATTTTGTTTTGAATGTTATCAAACGGCTGCGTGATTATTGCTATACGATCTATTTATTTGAATATTATTTTAATATTATTTGAAAAATTTTTGACTCCTTCGGATAAAAAAGTGGCGGCAATGCAAATCGCGCTTCGGTCTCTCGGTCAAAACTGAGGGGAATAATAATGTCAGCGGATCATGGGAAACGAATGCCTAACTAATGGGTTACTCGGTTAGTCATACGTTACGTTGATACGCGAAACGCTCTTGCACGTAAACGTATACGCCTGTACTACGCGTATTGTATGTGTGCCCGCACGGCTCAACAATAACTGGTTAGAGTCTTTCAAGGTGTTTCTGCATCCAGGCCGAATGGAAAGAAATACTTCTGTCGTGTAATTTTCCACCTCGGTATTGTAGCCGACTTTATCAGCGCCGAAGAAGCTAGTCGCGTGAAAATTTTTACGAAATTTTAAGAGAGAGAGAGATACGAAATATAATATCTACGATAAAGCTTCGATTGTTAAAATTGTTAAACAAAATTGTTGCAGCCTCGAATAGGGGAAATGCGCTGAGATGCACGATCTCGAAATAGCTGCGAAATCGAAAGCGGAAATGATATTGGATTGATTACGTCGGCCGCGTGAGACAGCGGATATGTCAAGATAGCGAAGAAGCAAAAGAGTAAGAACAATTACGCTCGGATAATCGAACGATCCGGCGAATAAAAGTTTACAAAATTCATGGCGGAACGTACGTGCGAAGCTTACGAAAATTTGACAGGGAAAGACCGGGGTGGGCGTACTGCACTCGTTAAATTATTTTTATATTGTAGAAGCGTGGTTCCTTTCGAGGATAATAGCACTGTAAAATATTCTAAAGGTTATTTTATTATTCACGACGTTATTGTAAAACGAAGATTTGGCAATTTCGAGAACTAGTTCAGCGCTCGAAATTCTCATTTTAGGTTCTACGTTTTAAAAATACGACAATTTTTTTAGACTTGTCTATTACCTAATTGTAATAATTAATTTTTGTTACTAATTTCACTGAATTCCAGAAAATTAAAATCACTCAGTATTACGTGTTTTAATAGTATCTGTCTTTGTCAATAATTGAACAGATTTTTTACTCTCGGAGCGTCGCAATTAAGTTAAAATCGTAATTGAAGGTTTTACACCAATATGAAGTACATTATTAAAGTGTAACGCTGCGCGACGTGAAGCGACGACAACAGCGTTTCGCTGGCAATTAGAGTAGAATTATCGATCGCTCGAGAATGGAGTAATTTCCGATTTCACGGAAACACGTTGCGTATCTATATAAAGAAAATCGGAGCTATGGATCTTGCTTACTTCCCTGAATGTTATGAATCATTATGCAGCTGGGATCGATTATACAGGCACGGACAAAGCGTGCGTGCTCCATCAGCGTGTGATTGGAGTTACGAATGAAAAATAAGATCCTTTCAAGGAAACCAAAGAATTTATAGCATTGATACATTATTCAATTATTAATTGTATCCGCGGTAACTTTACATAATTGCTATCTTCCTCTTGGAACGCTCTAAACGATTCTTCCTCGAAACCGCGATAGAATAACATCTCGTGTAGCACGACAGACTTAAGAGACATTAAATTAAATCTTCGGAAAGGTCAACGAGTGGAGCCGGAGAGTTTAGATTTTTTTTCTAAAATAAAGTTTAAAAAACTGCGTAAAGTGAATCGTTGACCGGAAAGTTGGCGGAAAAGGGGAGAAATTAGCGACGCACCGCGATTCGAGCGATTATCTCAATTAAATCTCTCCCGCGAGTGATCGAGAGATCTCTCTTTGTCCGATCCTCCCGGAACGGTGTTCTTCGCCTGAGTCGAAGCTGCAAAACACGCCCGATGATATCAGCGTCTCTTAATCACCACCGTTTTCTCTTAATCATCGGCGATCTATTGACCGACGAAGTGACTCGCGCGAGGAGAACCGCCGCCGCCGCGGCGGTGTGGAGCAGCTGCTCCGGATTTCGTTACCTGCGGACTTTCGGGCCAGGTGCACACTGTCAACTGCGCGCGCGCGATCACCTGACGATGCCGAGAACGTGACGCGCGCGACCGGTTCTCGGAGGTAATATAAACGGAATGACCGTACTGCACGCCGTCCCGACGCCGACTGACGCCGCGTTGCAGCCGCGCCGCGCGCCCCGGCCGAGCGTGTTACTCGAGGATGCACTGACCATGCCGCCACGCTATGGTCGTGACTACATGGTCAGGAACGTACCGCCGTTATCGGGCACCGAGGTCGGGAGACTGCGAGGGTGCGTCTAAATCGATTTCGCAGCCGGTCTATGTGTATCCTTCGATTTAGAGGGAAATTGTTCTGCAATCGAAGTCGATTTTGCCGTGAGAATCAAGAGAAATTAATTTATTTAGTAGATTTATTTGTTTTTTTTTATCAAGCAAAAACAGAATTAATCAGTTTAATATAAAATATTACAATAAAATATTAGAAGAATAGAAAAAAGAACGAGAGAAAGAAATCTAATTTATTTAACAGATTATATTATTCTAATTTGCACAACAATCTCTTTACAATAAATTCTAGAGAATCAGTGAAAAACAAAATTTTCCGTTATATTTTGGAACCGAGTTAAATTAGTCCGATTTTGGAGTAAATTGCTCCAAAATCAAAGTCGATTTGTTTTGACCGCAATTAAGCACCAAAAGAAATACATTTATATTTAGTAGATTAATTTATTTATCCAATATTTATTTGTTTTTATTAAACAAAATAAATTGACTAGTTTAATATAAAGAGAGAGGACTAACTTATTTAGCAGGGCTATGTTGATTATATTTATTTATTTATTAGCAGTTATAATGAAGATTTTTTGCAAGATAACCTACACAACCGTTAATAAATTCTTTACAATAAATTCAGGAGTGTCGAAGAGAAATCAAAGTTTCTGTTATAGATGAATGAATTTATCATTAATAATAATTGTAAAAGAGATTTTAATCTAAAATGCAGAAACTAAGGTTCTTTTTGCTCGAAATAGTCGCAGGATGTACCGCACATGACAATCGCACTATCACATGCGTCACATGCGTGACCATCCGCGGGCCTTCGAGGCTCCTTTAACGCTTTCTACACATAAATAATCCTGGAAACACGGAGGTCTTCCACGGTTACGCGTAATCGTGGCTCCATTTGGATATAATCACGCGAAATTTCGTTCGATTCGGCCGACATTAACTTGGTGTCGAGCGAATAAATGCAGATAATAAAATGCTGATAATAAAATCGTGTTAATATTACTGTAAAATGTAATATATTATTTTCCCGTCATCTGTCTTGATAAATGAAAATTTTAACTTTAATGATAATGGATTGTTGCATGCTATCATTATTAATGATGAATTAAAATTAATTGTTGGGGATCCATTTGTCTTCGTATTATACATTTGGTCATTGAATAATGTCCCTTTGTTTGATCTTCGCTTGATTTTGATATTCCTTTTTACTGCGACTGTTCTCAATTATTAAAAAGCGAATGGATATTGCGTTGCGTTTCCATCCGAGAATAGCAGACTTTTGCATCCCCATAAAACGACGGTCTGAGTCATCAAATCCTTCCCATATGTACTACCGTCTCTTGAGGGAAAAGAGGGGCATTGTAAGGGTGGCGGGACAACCCCCAGACGGCCGATGTAAAGTTAAACCATAGGGACGGTTCGTCACGTGCGTCTACCAGCTGCTTTCTCCAGCATCCGTCAATAAAAGTTCCGGGCATATAAAAAAATTATCGCCTCAAATCGCCGCGCAAATTTCTGTTGCGGTAAAATAATAATTTCACTACCTTAACAATTTTATTTGATAATTCAAAAATTTTTTTTAAACTTTAAACAATTTTTTCCAAATCAAAAAATTTTTAAATAATTATTTAATTATTTTAAGTAATAAGCGAAAACATACGTTATACTCTTATAAGAATTTATATATGTTTTTACCCTTTTTAAATTTATGTTACAACTTTAGACTTTCACAATATCATAATTTTAATTTATAAAGAAATAGAGTTCTTTTTTCTTTATTGCAATTTGTATAAAATGTTTGAATCATATTGCATATTTTGAGGTTGTGCTTTAGATTCAGCGCTGTCGAAGCGCCACGATTGCGATTCCCGTCGACTCGCTCTTGAGGAAATAATTCACATGCGCGCGGCCTTCGATCGTCATCGATATCTTGATCGTATAAATCAATGTTTTCTCGTGCGCGGCCGTAAATTTCCACCGAAGCTCTCGGTACTGAACTTGAACCGGCAATAACGGTCGCCGTTAATTCCTTACGTCGTTGACACGATGCACTTCGTGACGCGCTCATGACGAAACAGACGTCATACGGGTTGCGCGGTGCGCCCACCGTTGTAATTGCGTCACGGCGACGTCATCGTTATCGTGGGACGAGCAGTAAACATCGATATGCGTTCTAAAAACTTCGTTAAATTTGTAATTAATGCCGGAACTACTGATTCGAGGCGGTTATCGTAAAGCGAGCATGAGTCACTATTTGTTGAAGCGGAAAAAATAGAAAAAAATTAATTCTCATGTCAACTCAATATTTATAACCATATTAATCGATACTGTAGCACTAATTTGACATTTTTTAGAATTTTATATCCAACTTAAAAGTACGTATGCAATTTTTCTTAATTTTATCTTTTTAATTATTTAGAAATAATTTTAATATTACCACAAAATCAAAATAAGTTTTAATAATTATATTAATAATTATTTCTAATAATTTGTTTAATAACAAATTTTGATTTTAATTTAATCAAACTCTTTTAAAGCTTCAAGAATTGTTTGCTTTTGAGTTTAAGAAAGCTATATGCTTGAGAAAAGAATGTTGGGCTTAATCTCGCAGATCTGGATTGGCAATGGGAGGGACTGATCTTCTGCCAGATGTCATCTGAGCAGCTGGTCGATCAGGTCGTTTACTTTCGCGTCGTCGTTTACTCGCGTACGAGTAGGTACGAGCTTCGAGAGGAGCCATGAGTCCAGCAAAAATTTCGCCTCCGGCGAGTCGACGTTCGTTAACCCCGGTATTGGCGAGGCATTTATTTTTCTCTTCCTGTCTAGAAAGCGTCTTTCAAGTAACTAAAGTTAAGAATGCTGTCACCAAGCCGAAGAAATTCTAAATTCAGGAATAGTTTGAATGATTAACATATACTTATAAATGGCCGCCGGAACCACTTTGTCGCGCGACCAGAATATTCGCTTTGACGTGTTTCACACTCGCAAATTGTAAAAGAAAGCAACCTTTGCAAAATTAATGAGAACTGAGAGAAATATTTTACCAGCAATTAATTTTTATATTATAATTATAAATGAAAATCTATGGCGATTGCTTAAATGATTATTACTTTGGTAGCACATAATTTTAATTTCTGCAATCCTAATTTCTTCTTTCAAAACTAATTAAAGTTAACCAAATTTTTAGAAGAACTATTTAAAAACTATTTATAGAAAAAAATTATTATAATACTATAGTATTGAGAATTATTTAGAATTATCGTAAACATTATGATTGAATAAAATATAATGTGCAGCAATAATAATGCATGTTTAATATGTTGAAATAATTAGAGTGTAAATAACAGTATGATATACATAATAAAGTTCAAAAGTTTCCGGTCCAAGGATATAAAAAAGTAATACGATGAAATAACCGTTCAATATAATCAACTCAATATATCTTTTTAGTTCAACACATTTTTTAGAACATTAAACAATTTTTTTATACCATCTAAAAAAAGTGTTCTGAATTTTTGTCCTTAAAATTGCCCTTTAACATTACGGTGATCACTTCTTCATTACTGGTAAAATTTTTTGTTCATGCGAATCGGATTTTAATTTTAAAAGTTATATTTTATTTTTAATTTTTATTTTAATCATAAAAATTCGGTACATTTTTTACATGTATTGAAAAATGAATTTATTGTTCTAAGAAATATCTATATTGGAATAAAAAATGATTATATATTGGAAGTAAAAATGTTTAATTTTTTTAATCATCTTTTTTACATCCCTGGAAACTTCTGGGCATTATACATACGTACGAATTATTTCAATGCAGGCAAGAATCACTCCTTCGGGATTGTTAATATTAGATTCCTAATTTTGCCTCTGTTTCTGTGTAAAGTATATATGTATATTTGTGTCTGTGTCTGTGAGTGTATATGTCACACAGATAAAGGTAAATTTTCTCTACTTTCACGCGGTATAACGAACGCCGCGAACACGTGCTCCTATACTGCAGCGGTGATCAACCTGCGCACTCTCGTTATCGAGCGGTGCTGACTCGACTCTACCATGGCGCGATTTTGATTGATAAGCGGGCTCGACTCGAGTGCCGAAGTCAGTTTAATCTAATATAGAGGAGCGAACATTAATGAATATTAAAGATCAACGGCGCACGAGTCGAGACCGCATATGTGCGTGTGTATGTAATATGTAGGTATAACCATATGAGCGACAAACGGCGCGCTCGTGCGCAAGTATCCCCGTATCGCACGGCGGAATCTGCACCAGCTGTTACGCGGCGGTTAGCGATACCTCACGTTTACGCAAGTTGATAAATCCGTGCGCGAATAAATCCGCTGCGCTCGCGACGGACGTTGCGCGATTAAGCGCGCTCGCTCGATTAGAGCCTCGCGTCACGGACGTCCAATTTCTCGTTCTATTCAATTCGCGTCGGCGGGATAATCGCATGATTAGCGAAAGCATAGAAACTCGCGAGAGAACGCGATTCTTCTCAGCGTTTTACTTTCGTCCGCGCCGCGCACAATGCGAGACGCTCACACATATACAACGCGTGTACGATCGCCGCAATAATTGCGTCTCGCGAGCGCAATTAAAATCCAGTCGCTCGGCCCAATCGGACAACGCACAATGATCGCGAATTTACATATAAGAAACCTACGTAGGCCCCGTTTTAGAAACGCGCGAGAGCATCGTCATTTTTAATGAGAGACCTTGAGGAGTTGCAGCATTTCGTGGGAGAGCGTGACTCAGGATCACGCGTGTCCCACGCGCGTGCACATATTGGTCCGAGATTGTCT